TGGGGAATGGGATCAAAAACAGTGTGGGGAGGGAAATGCACTGGACTATGGTGATGGCACATGGGTGATTTAGAGTGGGAAGCCCAAGGGTATTACAACCGAGATTTTAAAAAATGCATAAAATGATGTAAAAATAAACTTATGTTACTAAAAAAAGAATTATAAGAAATAGCAAAAAATTTGGACTTAAGATATGTGGGTTATGATTCATAGTTTGAGTGATCTCAAACAGATCCCTTCATCTGAGCCTTGTAGATAGTGGCAATGTCTACCACCTAGTTATAAGAATAAAGTTGAATTTTGCAGTTAGAGAAATACATGGTTAACACTCCGATAGTCAAAAAAACTAGATTGTAGATGAAGATAATTCAACACAATACAACTCATCAAATATTTACTGAACAGTTACTACTTGCTGGACATTATTGCCCCAAATGCTGAAATTGGATAAGAGATGACTAACAGCCTTGTCCCTTGTCCTTAGGAAAGGAAACTGGGCTGGCTGCAGACCCAGATTTTGGTCACAGTGATTTTATTTTATTTTACATATATTAATAGCAGATCCTCCAAATTCTATGCAGTAGAAACCCGATTTACTAGGGGAGACAACCCTGTAAGCCAAAAATAGTAAAGCAGCATGTTAATTACAGCAATAGTAGTGTATACAATGTGTGTGGAGGGAACGTGAACTTTTGTGGGGGAGTTGGGTAAAGGGCTTTGATGGGCATGATGTCTGGCCAGCAGGAGAACAACACGAGTTCCTACAGAGCTGAAAGGTAATGGAAAGGGGCTTTCAGATAACAGGAAGTAGCACATGCTAAGCTACATAAAGAGGAAATGGCTGTCCATTGACTTAACTCTAACCTTTGTGGAATTTCCCAAATTCCTCATGGTTTCCTTCTTCTCATCTTAAAAAATGGAAAGTTAGGGCTTGAAAAAAGGAAATCCACATTTTTTTCCTGTAAGATAGTTTCTAACTGGTTACCTCCATGTCGGAGCAGAAAAAGGTAGCTTAGGAAATGTCAAGTATCATTATTAGGGCATGGGGTAAAAGTGCCATCTTTTGTAACATTTAAAATGACAGAAATCAGAAATTTCTATATACATTCATTCACCCACTTCACCACATTTATGGTATTTACTGAGTCAGGTCTTAAGCTGTTAAAGAAGTTACGGGGGAGCAGAGGGAGACTGAAGTGTAAATAAACTAGTACACTAGTACCATGGAAACAATACTGGATGATAGAATGTGGGTGCGTGGGGGCAGGGCAGTAGAAGCCCCTAGGGCTTGTAGTTACGTGCTGGGTGACAGGATTTAGCTCTTAGCAAAAGGAACCTCCTGTTTCCTCATCCTGCTTTACCTTCTCAAAGAAGCCATCAACATTTCCCGCCGCCAACATGCTCAACTCTCAGTTCTCTTGGCCAGGCGACCAGGCAGGCACCCTCTTAGCCCCTGAAACCTTCTAAGAGCCTGTGTCCGTGGTTCCTGGCACGCAGAACGGATGTGGATTCCTGGGCTCACCAAAGGGTGCCTGTTCCCGCGACCGCTTCGCTCACAACGGAGCATCCGCTGCAAGTCGCTTCCCCTCGCGCGTCGGCGGGAAGGGGGGTGGGAGGGCGGGAAGGCAGTCCGTCCAGTACCTCCAGGGGTAGGGCTCCCCGCCAGCTGGGCGGGGCAAAGGTGACCGGTATAAGAGGAGGGACACTGTCCCGGTGACAGTGCTGAAGCTGGCGCCACTGTCGGGACCAGGAGGCAACAACAGGCGCTGAGTTTACAACTACACCCTGAGTGACTGAAGGGAGAAAAGGTCTGGTTTCTACTTATTAGTTTGCTAAATGTCAATGAATGGAAGGCGGGAGGGTGTAGGCGTGCTCCAGAACTCAGCTGGGGCTGACTGGAGTCCGTAGAGCGAAGGGTCTAGCTACGTCCCCAGGGGATGCAGGAGCCCAAACTCAAGCAGCTTCTCTTTTCTGCAGGTGCGCTTTCCCCCGCCATCCCCAATCCGTTTGGGAGATGAGACTCCTCGGGAAACTCCGGGCCTCTGCTCCCGAGCCCTCCTTTTCCAATGTTCTCACCCCTGGCCGCATCCCCGAGTTCTGCATCCCGCCGCGGCTGCCAGTCTCTTGCGCGCCGGAGTCTTGGTCCCGGGACGCTGCACTGCCGCGGCGGTGCGCTGCCGAGCCGGACTTGTGGCCCGGCGGAGCAGACGAGGGTGCGGGGCGCACTGACTGGGACCCGCGCTCGCAGGCCGCGCTCTCGCTGCCGCACCTACCCCGCGCGCGCACCGCCTACGGCTTCTGCGCGCTGCTCGAGAGCCC